TATATATATATACATACACATATAGATAATATATGGCATAAACTCACGTATAGTCTCCAGAGTGTCTTGGGCTGCAGAAATCCAGCCCAGAATCGCTCGATGCGGCCGGGTGTTTTGGGTGCAACGGTGGGTTCTCGAGGACTAAGCTCCTGATCTTTGAGCCACTGCCGCCGAAGCTTTGATAACTGCTCAAAGCGGAGTTTTTCATCCGCTGAGTATCCAGTCATAATGAATTTCTTATTTCTCAAATAAAGCCGAATTTACAATGACATCTAAAGAGGACAAACCTCCCAGAGTGCAACGCGAACTCAGGAACGTCAACATAAATATCGGGGTTTTACACAGCGACACCTGCTGATCTGGAGTCAAATCACTATTGTGATGATTCGCACCACTACCACACGAGGTCGTGCGTTATTAACTGCCTGTGCACTTTCTTCGATAGAAGAGCTCAAGGTTTTGTTGTTTAGCACTTAGCATAGCCATGCTAGGCCCTACTGGTAGATCATCGGGGTGCAAAATGTTTCTTTCTTCATTTATGATTCAAAAGTAGTAATTGTTTGCTGACATATAAATTGCAAATATTTCATTATAAAACATATTTCACCAGTGCCCAGTTTGTCTATATTTTTCACTGTATGCGGCCTTTCAGGTCACACCTCAGTAAGTTAGAATGCTGGAACATTTTCTATGAAGAAAACAAAAATTAATGTAGGCTACTGCTCTATAATATTCTGAATATCAAACCTCTTTATGACTGGTTTATGGGTGTCTTTAAGAAACTGTGAATAATGTGTGAATAATGTGTAGTACAAAAAGTCTCTGGAATGACATTAGAGAATGTGAAGCTGACGTCACGGCTTGTGAATTCTACTTGGGGTGAATTAGAAGAACTTGAACAGGGACATTAAAGGCAGGGTATGTGATTTTTCAAAAACACTTTAGAAAACTGATTCGGCTGAATAGCAAAACAAACTTCTATCCAATCAGCACTAAGGGGCGTGTCTACTCGTGATGTGGTGTGGAGGAGAGAGCTTTCAGTGCATGGGACGGACATTAGCCGAGCCGAGCGACAGAAGATGGAGATGGCGGATAAAAAACAAAAGAGGAAAACGTCTGCGGAACGATAAGGCAAGAAGTAGGACCCGTGTAAATATCGGATCAGCTTTCCAGCGCTGGAGAGAACTCAAGGAGCGGAGGCCTGCAATCGGACGCCGAGGTTGCTTTGTTTCTTCTCAATAGGTGAGTAACACCGTGTCTACAACAGCTAAAGTCTGCCTACACTGGACGCGCTCAAACGACCGTAGAAAACCATTTGAAATGTGTCCGCACGTCATAAATACAGGTGCATCTCAATAAATTAGAATGTCATGGAAAAGTTCATTTATTTCAGTAATTCAACTCAAATTGTGGCTTTGTTTCACAGAACTAATCGTTGCCTGGGTTGCGTACGTATATGTGGGGCGGAGCTATCAAAATAGGGGCAAGACCCTTTTGGGGTAGGGGCGTGTATGTTTAGGTGATTTCAAATATCAACATTGGCTACCAGAAATCGCTTACTCTGCCTTTAAAACCCTTAACACAAACAACGCTTCATGTGGCTTAATGTACCAAGACAGTGATAAAAACAAAATTGTAAAGCATATACTAATTGCAGATACGCATATAAGCCCAAAAGTGAACGCAGCGCGTTTATTTACACGTTAAGCGTTTTCCTATAAAGAATGCTTAATGCACTGAGACAGTGATATTAAAAAAACACATTCTGTACACATCTTACTAATAAAGCATAATATCTGCAGAAAAACGGATGAACCCAAAATATGAACTTTAAATACTGTCTTAATGCATAAGTGTTTTCTTCATTACGATTTTCTAAAGGGACGAAAATGCTTAATGTGTAATTAAACAAGTTGGGTTAATATTCTGGCCTCATCTGCATATCTTTTAGCATCACTGTCTTACCACATTAAACCAGCATTTTAAAATGCTACAAAACTGTTCACAAGCTTAAAGGGATTTAATTTTAGGTCCTCGGTCCGTTCACCGCAGGGGCCCCGGGTGCGACCGCACCAGTTGCACCCCCCTAAGGACGGCCCTGATGGCTGAAGCAGCAGCGAGTGTACAGCGGGCGGCACTGTTTTCACGCTAATCAGATCAAAGTAATCGAAATTCTACAAATCTTAAGAGGTAAAAAAAAAATCCAATTATCATGCGAAGCGATAAAATAGCTTCTCTTCCCTGCAAACGATCCAATGAAGAATGTGAATATTTAACTTATGGCAAAAACAAAACAAAAGATAAGCAGGTATCTGTATTAATTTCAGCATTTGTAGCAGAGGGTGATCCTCCCAGAATGGCGGCGGCGCCTCAGGCATGCAACGCGGCGTGACATAGCTTCACATTCTCTATAGGCCTACATATGAAACAACTCGTTAATATTCCTATTTAAAATGCAAAATAACGCTAATATGGGCATGCTGTATCACTTCGTTGTTTCTATTTATGGGCTTTTTTGCCTTTGATAGAACAGTAAAAAGAGAGGAAACAACAGGAAAGAAGAAAGGGGAACAGGATCAGTAAAGGACCACAAGATGCAGCTGTGCAATGGGAGCACTGCCCACAAGTTTTTTTTTTAAATTAATTAATCATTTATAAACTTGGTATAGGCACTTTCGTCTAATTTTAATTGATAGCAGACACTCTCTCTCACTCACTAATATATATATATATATTAAATAGTATTACAGATTAAAATAGTATTTTCTTGTAAAATTACCTTATTTTTATTTACAGTTTTACAAAATATTTGTTCCACATATTATGGAGATTGGTACTGGGCTAGAAAAACAATGATCTACACTACAAACACATATTTCTTTTTTCTTTCTTTCTTTTACAAAGATTGTTACAAATAATGACTCTGGAGAGCCAGTGTGTATAAAACATTTTAATTATTTATATTACAATACAAGAATACATAATACCTTAGAGTGTGGGCTCAAACATAGCCAGCACCAGGTAAATATGTGTATGTACACACAGACACACACACAAAGAAAAAAAAATAACACCTTTACAATATTATACAATATTATCTGACTTGTTTTCTAAAAGGAAATCTGTTCACAGGTCTCTGGCACAGAACCCTCCCTTTCACAGTCTCCTCTTTTCCACAACGGTTTCCCTCATGCTAAAACGCAAGCGTTCGGTGAGCTATGCCACACACGCTGACCGGTCAACAAACTGCTCCATGAACACAAAACAAACAAAAGCAGGGGAGAGGCAAAGTGAGCAGAAAATATGGGTCACAAATCTAGTCATATAAAGATAAATCTGATATTAAACCTGATGCCTCCAAAAATTGGGAGGGGTTAGAAAAATAAAAGTCTGTATCTAAAAGAATCTATACGGCAGGAATCTTTTTCTTTCTCTCTTCTAGTGCTTTTATGTGAATAACAAAGGTAAAAGGAATTTTTATATAGCTATATATTTTTCTTGGTCACTCTGGTCTTTTTTAGTAGCCTTCACTGCCTGTCTTTATCCTATCTAGCTTTCCTGCTGCACTGACTATTCTCAATCGTACATGCTCTGCAGAAAAACACAAAGTATCACTTGTTTCTTCCTGGTCTGTTTTTTTTTCTCCACTGAGTGATGGCACACATTTAAAATCCTTGGACACCTGGCACTTTCCACATAATTATATCTGTGCCTGTCTGCTGACATACCCTCATTTTAGTGTTTTAAAGTCCCCCCCCCCAAAAAAAAAAAACTAAAAACAAAAAAAAAAAACAAGAAAGAAAAGCCTGCAGCCACTGAATAGCCCTGTATCTGTCACAAAGTATTTCTTAGATAATGCCAATGAAAACTACAATCTCTTAGAGATGGTATAAAATCTCATGTCTAATTCTCTGAACTTTCAATCAAAGCATGTTAATGGGAGGTTCTGTGCGAGAGGTTTTTTAATTTAACAAGTCACTTGATCAACATACTGAAACACACTCAAAAAGAATAGTTTTGCTACAACAGTCAGGCATATCCATGACATAAATGTAAACTCTTCTTTAAAATGTAGCTTTAAAAAACAAAAAAAAAAACAAAAACAAAAAAAAAAACATTTTCTCCCTCCTCTGGAAGCCCGCGTCTGCCACTACAAAAAATAAAAAATTATATTGCAATTCTGAGTTTATATCTCATTTTAATATGTTTTAATATATATTATAAAGTAATATATAAAACTCCACGAAGAAATGTCAAAATTGTGAGATATAAACTCACAATTACAAATTGTGATATAAAAAAACGTTGTTTTAATTTTTTTTATTCTGTGGCTGGGGAAAAAAAACTCAGAATTCAGTTTACACTGACAACTGTGTAAAAGTCAGAATTCTGAGTTTATAGGCTATCTACAGAGAAACAAAGTCCAAACTGTGAGATAAAAAGTCACAATTACCTTTTTTTTTATTGTTTT